TCTCTCTCTCTCTCTCTCTCTCTCTCTCTCTCTCTCTCTCTCTCTCTCTCATCTGGAATCAAACATAGGACCTTGTGCTTGCCAGGCAGGCACTGCCCCACTGAGCTACATCCATAGCCCCCTTTTTCTTTAAAAAAGTCTGAATTCTCTTGTTTCAGCTAAAGTATATATTTTTTTGTTGTTGTTGTCTTATTTTTCTGTGTATAAATAGTTTTTATATAGTATTATAATCTGCTGTGAAACCTGTATATTATTCTTTCTTTCTTCTTTCTTTCTTTCTTTCTTTCTTTCTTTCTTTCTTTCTTTCTTTCTTTCTTTCTTTCTTTCTTCTTTCTTTCTTCTTCTTTCTTTCGAGGACTAGGGATTGAACTCAGACCCTTGCGCTTGCCAGGGAAGTGCTTATTCTACTGAGCCATCTCCCTGGCCCCTACATTACCTTCTTACTGTAATTTTCAGTTTTAGAGTTTCAACTTTTATTTCTTGATTTCCCAGTTTTCTGGCAAATGTTTCCATTTCAATTCAGTTTCCTTGTTAGCATATATTTTTTTTTTTACCTTGAATTGAACTCAAGACATCACACTCACCAAGCAGGTGTTTATATTACTAAACTATATCCCTGACCCTACTCTATTTTTTAGAATGCCTAAGTTTTTATAGGGAATGTTCACACTATATATACAAAACTATAGAGGCTCTAGGTATCATCATGTCTACAACTTATTTTTAAAATGCCTCAAAAATTAATGATAAAACAAATATAGAGAGAAATTAAGAACTGGCATATTCAGGTAGATAATGTTTGGGTTTGAAACTTTTAAAAACAAAAACTTGGGAGAACATTCTTGGATCTTCCACCTGAGTTATTCATTCTAAGTTTTTAAGTTAACTTGTGAGCATTTATGGGGCACCCTGGGAAGTGGCCATGGATTAGGCCATTAGATCATTCTCTTTCAGTCTCCTCATTCCTAAAACAGAGAGAGCAAGAACACGTGCCTCACAGCATGGTGAGTGCAGCAGAGTAGGCCCCTAAGCAACCATGCCCAATGTAACTTATCTCTTCCGTCCACCATTGATCTAATTTTACAAACTTGATTGTTTTGGTTTTTCAACTTCGGACAGAAATATGAGTTCTTCTTTACACATTATTCCTATATTCCATTTCCCAATGTTAGTACTCATCTTACTTTTGCTAATATTATAGGACATGGAAGTCTTGGGAGAAGATATAAACCAGAGCAAATGTTAAAATTAAAATGTCTAGGAGGTATACTTAAAAGATAGGGTCTAAAGTTTATATTCATATAGATTAATTTTATTATTAATTATGCCTTGGTCTAAAACTGGTTATAAAGTAAAAGAAAATAAAGTTTCCTATTTTTTAAATTACTAGGTGTTACACTAATTAAAAATTTAAAAACACAGGGAATACTTTAGTACTTCCCCTCCGTATCTTCATTTTTTTCTTTTTCTTTTTCATTTATGTATTTGGTACAGGGTCTCACTACACAGCTAACACTAATGTGGATCCTCCTGTTTTCAGCCTCCCCAGTGCTGGGATTACAGGCATGCTCCACTACGTCCAGTCTTGGTTGCTGGCTCAGTGCACCCCATGAGTGGGGCTGGTGCAGCATCCAGGACTGGGGATTGAACCTTTTATCTTCATTCTTATGGAAAGTATATACATACCTAACACATTACATTATTAATGACTAAGAGCACTCTGTTCTCCTGATTTTTTAAAATGTATTTGATAGAGGGTCTCACTGTACAGCTCAGACTCGTACTGATTCTCATTTCAGCCTCTCCAGCACTGGGATTACAGGTGTGTGCCCAGTCTTGGTGGCCAGCTCAGCATGTCCTGGGTGTACTGGGGATTGGACCCAGGTCCCCGCTCTTGCCCAGGCAGGTGCTTAGGCTGCCAAGCTAGCTCCATGGCCCTGTCCTCCCATTTTGCTTCACCCATTAATGCTGTGAAAAGTGAATGACTTGGTCTGATAAATAGAGGGTTCATTTTGAATGGATTCATACAATTTATCATTAAGTTCTAAATTGTCCTCTTTCATGTACACTCTGATCATTGTTTGTAACTTAGTAGGCAACAAATTATTTTAATTCAATAGAAAAAAGTTTATTAATCTCACCTGCAAAGGTGATGCTTAAAATATGACCCAATAATGTAGTCATATTTTTGACATTATTTTAGAAAAAAATATTTCTACTTCCTATTTTCCTTTTATACATTGAGAAGACCACAACAAATATATATCAGCCTTAAGATCCATCATTTCATATACCTTAAGAGTTATATTTTGCATTTCTATAAATCTTTACTACTTCTAGTACTATAGCAAAACTGTATCCATAATTAAATTTTAAATTACTTATGCCTATAGTTTGTGTCTAGTTGTCCCTCCAAAGCCTCATGTAGTCATGGGTGGACTTGTAGACTTTGTGATGAATTCATGATTCAGTACTGGGAGTATGGGTGTGAGTGCTGCTGGGATTATGGGTGTGAATGCTACACCCAGCCTGGGGCAAATAGCCTGAATACAATGTAAGGGAGACAGGCTTGCTCTCTGTAGCCATTGTTGTCCCTACTTCCTTTTGCTTTTGTTCTTCTGTTTTCCACTGCCATGAGCTGCTGCCCTCTGCCATGTGCCAATCTGCCTTGGAGCCAGCTGAATATGGACTGAAACCTCCACTAACTGTGAGCTAAATAGATCTTTCCTTCCTTCATTTTGGGTGTCAGGTATGTGTCCCAGCAATGAGAGAAGAGTAACTGAGATAACTTACAACAAAGTAAATTTTATTATACATTCAGAGTAGGATTAAATAAATACAGAAATAATTTAATATTGTATAGAGCACACAAATGTGCCAGTTTTCTTAAATCATTTATTAATTAATTTATTTGAGAATGATATGAACAAGGAAATACAGAAATATCAAGAAGATTACTTAAATATTTATTGCACTTAGGGGCCTGTCAAGGTGATGAATTTTGCAAAAAAAAAAAAAAAAAAAAAAAAAAAAAAAAGGTTTTCAAGAAAAGAATTAGTGGTGGGTGAGAGGAAGAACACACCAGGTATATTAGAAAGCCTGTGCACAAGCAGCGAAGTGAGGACTTTCATGTTTACTTTCCTATTTAATAAGGGAAGTTACAGGGGCTGGGGAGATAGCTCAGGAGAATAAGCACTTGCCTGGCAAGCGCAAGGGCCTGAGTTCAATTTCCGGTTCCGAAAAATAAACTAAAATAAAAACAAAGAAATAAGGGAGGTTACTAAATATCTCTGGTGATTTTTCAAGCCCTCCTCCAATTTTAAGAAGAGACAACAGGGCTGGGGAGATAGGTCAGTAGAATAAGTGCTTGCCTGGCGAGTGCAGGGTCATGAGTTCAATGCCCTGTACCACAAAAAAATAAAAACTAAAAAAAAAAAACAAAAAAAAAACCACTACTGCCACCACCACCACCAACCACCCTCCCCAAAGAGACAAGATAAAAGATAGTCATGTGCTAAGGTTTCCCTAGAAAACAACGCTAGATGGTGCTATTAGGCTATCAGAAAAAATTTACTAAGCAAGCCATTGTGTGGCAGCTCTGAAGGTAAAATGTTCTGGAAGTTTCCTATGATTTTTAGCCCCTAAGAATCATCTCAGGATTACGGGAAAGTAATAGGAATATTTATCTGATGAACTTTAACCCTAAAATTGGATTACTTGCAAGTAAAACCACAGTTTAACATATTTTATTTATTTTTTTGGCAGTTCTGTAACTTTATTTCAAAGTTAGTTCTTGTCAACATTCCTTGGAGACTTTTGAATGTGGTAACACGGACATAGGTTACCAAGGTATACAGCTTGTTCGGTGAATTTTCATCCTCATTCCATTTCCTGGACAACTGTACTTGGATAGGATATGGGACATTCCTTATTCCTTTGGCCCAGACAGCTTTGGTGAGCCTGGTGTCAATGCGCATGTCTGGAGTCCCCATCTCCTTCATGGCAAACTTCAGGATCTCCTTAAGTGCCCGAGGGGCACACTTCTTGAAGCCTACTCCATGGATGCACTTGTGAATATTGATTGTGTATTCTTGGGTCACCACCTCATTGATGGCTGAACAGCCCTTCTTCTTGCCACCCTTCTTTGCAGGAGCCATTCTGCTGGGCCCAAGTTTTGGAAAAGAAGAGTGCAATGGATTGTGGGATGGAAAGCCACCAGTTTAACATATTTTAAAATAATTTCACTGTTTGACAGTTTAGTCTGATTCTACTTAAATGGAAATTAGCTAATGAAATCTGAGCTTAGTATTAATTTAAACAAATTCCTATGCTTTTTCACTTAGCTAGTACTTCCAAATCTTGTTACATGGGGTTGGGGGGAGGGCAGAGAGATAGCTCAGCAGTCTAAGCACCTGCCTGACAAGTGCAAGGACCCGAGTTTGATCCCCAGTACTGCATGGACTCTCCAAGCCGGCCACCGAGATGAGACATGGTGGAGCAAGCCTATAACTCCAGTTCTGGGGAGGCTAAAACAGGAGGATCAGTATGAGTCTCAGCTGTGTTGCCAGATCCCATACTAAATAATTAAAAAAAAAATCAAGTTGTATCTATTATAATCTTAAAATAGTTACTTCAAATTGTTTATAAAATTTTAAAAACTATCTTCAGCAGAAAATATTAAAGCCTATTATTTAAATTACAGTAATATGGTGACACAAATACATAAAATAGGAATCTCCACAGATTTCCACAGTGGTTGTGCCTGTTTATACTCCCACCAAGCGCGGAGGAGGGTTCCTTATTCCCCACAGTTCTGCCAGCATTTGTTATTGATTGATTTCTTGATGATAGCCATTTGTTCTGGGCTGAGGTGGAATCTCTGCAGAGTTTTAATTTGCATTGCTCAAATGACAAATTGTTGAGCAACTGCAACAAAAAAATATGCTTTCTACCCTGAGTCATTTTAGTTTTAAGTTCTCAGAGTTATAAGATTTGTTTAGTTTTTTTTTTTTTTTCACTTATCTTCTCAGTTCTGCTTCCAAAATTTCCCCCCATGTCTCTTTACTCATCGGGCACATGGATTTTTCTGGTAGACCACAAGCAGAACGGATGTTGCTGTATTTGCCACCGAGCCATTCGCCTTTCACTTTACTTATCTGGCAATTCCTCCGCAGTATGTCCTGAAAGGAATAAAGCGTCATCATTGAAAAAGAATGTAGTAGGTTGTGGGCTAGTGAATAGGTTTTAAACTAGAAAAGCTGACCCACAGGGCTAAGAGGAAGATCATACACATATGTGAATGGACATATTAGTATACATGTATTATATACAATATTAATGAATTGATGTACATATATGCATGGGTTTATACAGAGAGACTAGGCTATGGAATCTTCTGGAGGTTTTGGATTAGGTAGAGTGACAAGGTGCTTTCACCTCACAGAGGTACACTTCTGAAGGTAGGATTTGCAAAGGATGGGACAGATGGGAGATGGTGTAGACAGTGCTTAGCAGAGAAAGACTACTAACTCAACTTCTACTCACTTCCCAGGGTCAACGTGTTCTGTTCTTCTGCATATGTACTCCTTTCATCTCCAAAGTGAACCTGCTCTGCACATCTAATTTTCCCTCCTCCAAAATCTGTAGCTTGCACGCTACGCTATTCTGCATCCTACCTTCTCCAAGCAGAAGCTAAGAGATGCCTCAAAACTGCTAACACGACATTGTCAAAAACACTGTAAGGGCCGGCCATATAGCTCAATGGACTGAAGTGCCTGCTTAGGCAGACACGGGGACCGGAGTTTGATCCCCAGCGTGCTGTGCTGGCCATGACCCTGGGGCGCACTGAGACTGTGACTGATACTGGGCATGGTGGCACAAGCCTGGAATCCCAGCACTTGGGAGACTGAAAACAGGAGAATCACTATCTACGCAGTAAGACCCTGTACCAGAACAAAGCACCGTAGACTGCAAAGGTGACACTTACCCTCCAGGAATACCCACAGTTTTGATCGTTATCTACTTCTTGACACACATATTCTAGAGCCAAGCAGTGAGGCTTCCACAAGAAGTCATTGTTTTCTATGATGTAGTTCCATCTCCTGCATGTCATGAAAGCTCTGTAGAAGCTCTGAATGTCGTCTAGCTGACTGAAAATTCTCAAAGTAATTTCTGGAGGTAGCAGTTCAATGAAATTCTTTTGATTCTCATGTTTTTCCATATCAGCATCCACAGAGGTCAATTCTTTAGCCCAAACTGTCAATTTACTGTTCCTCCTGGAATTTTTCTGCATAGCTTGATAATTTAGTAAGTTATCCTCACCTGTAACCTGAAAGGCAAAGTTTAACATGTGTTCAATTTTTATCAGACAGTAAATCTTACTCTTAGTCAAACTTTTTTGGGCATGATTTGTTTTGTCTGTTTTTTGAGACGAGGTCTTACTATGTAGTTCAGGTTGGCCTTGAACTCTTTCATGTACCTCAGGCTGGCCTTGAAATTAGTCTTGCCTTAGCCTCCTGAGTGCTGGGATATAGGGGTGCACCACTCTGCCCAGCACTGGGCGTTTGAAAAGTTTCCCAATCTGTAAAATAGGACAAATACTGCTGCTCTTTTGTGTTCTTATAAAGATGGATAATTATAAAACATGTAGCCTCACATCTCAATTGCACATGGCAGTGCTCCTTTTGAACATTTTAAGCAAATATCTTTTTGATCCCTAAAGAAAATTATCTAAAATAGGTAAATGATTCCTCATGCTGGACTCCAATTTTTTGAGTTTTGTGATAATGACTACTATGAGGATACATTCAAGTATTTACCGCGAGTACTTTTGAAAAGTGCATGGGTGAAATTAAACTCCTTGCTTCATCTACAATTTGTGAGTCATGAAACTGGTGGACTTTTATTAAGAATTGTGTACCTAATTGTACCTAACAGGTGGATACTCACATTCACACAAATATCTGAAATAGACAAAAAGGATGAGATCTTAGTTATAAATGCAGTCTCAAATACCCAATTCCAATTCCTTTTTAAGATTAGAGTCTAAGAAATGGTCCCATAAAGCTATCCCATATACATAGTTAATCATGAGTTAAAAGTAACAGTTACCGAGACCATCACTCAAGTAACAAGTGTAAACAATGTAACTTAGGTCTACCCCGGCAGTAAAGCTTTAAAGCTCAATATTCAAGACACATTGGTGTAGGCTTTTTTTGGGGAGGTATCAGGAATCAAACTCAGGACCTTGCACTTGCCAGGCAGGTGCTTATGCCGGTGAGCTATCTCCCGGGCCCAAAAGGCTTTTTAATCAGTGTAATCATAGCTGGTAACATCATTAGAACTACTTTTGCATATAAAAACAGTCCGTATTTATTTAAAATCAGCTTGTTGCATTTTGCTCTTCCCTTTAAAAAGGGACAAAGGGGCTCAAGATACAGCTAATTTTTTTTTTTTTATCAGCTGGTAACAGTTTCCTTTTCTACAAGTGGTACTCTGTTATGTTTCTGGACTTGCCAGGACCACAGTGGCTTGCACTGATTGGGTTGTTAATGATCTAAATTAGCTGTGGTAGTTATAAGGTCTGGGGTCAGCAGGAGACTTCCTTTTTTAAAATTTATTTTAATTTTCTAATTAAATAAATAAATAAATAATTTTTTTTTAGAGGACTTCCTCTTGAGAGTTTGGGAAAATAAAAGAGCAAGTTGGAAGGCCGAGGATCTAGTTCAGCGGCATAAGCGTCTGCCCGGCAAGCGCAAGGTCCCGAGTTTGCGCCCTGACGAAAACAAAATGAAAGCACACTGGTAAACACAAGAACGAAAAACCGCGTGCAAGTTTTCGCCACACCCACTGTTCCCTCCCACCATCATCACAGACCAAAGCCAAACCATCTTGAATCTCGTACGAGAATACTACATTGTCATTACAGATTTGTCAGTTTTCCCAGGATCTTACTGTAGAATAAAATTCCACAGGAGGCGTATAAAGCTTTTTTTTTTTTTTTTTTTTTACCAGGAATCAAACTCAAGACCTTGCACTTGCCAGGCCAGCACTTGTCTTACTGAGCTTTATACATTGTCATCTAGTTACATCTTGTTTCATGCAAACACCAGAATTTCTTTTTTTTTTTTTTTTTTTTAATTGTTTGGCACAGGGTCTCACTCGGCAGCTCGGACTCCTAGTGATCCTCCTGTTTGCAGCCTCCCCAGGGCGAGGATTACAGGCATGTGCCACCACTCCGGGTCTCAGCGGGCAGACCCACGCAGCAAGCACGTGGTGCAGGGAACCGAACCCGGCAGGGTCCGTAGGTTTAAGCAGGCGCCAGCGCACGCTTTTGATTTTAAGCGGAGATGCGGTGGGCAGGTTCTTAAAAAAATCTCAAATTCCGTTTCGACCAGATATCTGGAGAACTGCTCCCGTTCTGACCTTTCTCCAAGTTTCGCTCAACTGTCCCTCCAGTAAGGCGAGAGCGCTTCTCTCTTTCAAGCATCGCTGGACCGAGGGGTGGGAGGGGTGGGCTTGACTAGATCTCAGAGAGCCCCCCGCCCCTTCCCGACCCCATCGATGGGGATCAGCGACCCCATGACACATCCAGGCCACCTCTAGCATGTTCACTTTGGGCTGCCGCTATCCAAGTCCGAAGAACTCCAGCACTGACAGGTGCACGAGAACACCCTTAGGCAGTGTCAACACAAAATGGCGTGTGCACCGCGGCGGCCCCCTCCCGCCGGCGTAGAAGAAGACCTTCCTACTTACGTGATCCGTCAGGCTTCTCCTCCCACGATTTAAATTCTCGCAGACGTCGGTCCTAACCCTGTAATCCTTTACCGGCCACCCTCTTTGCCCCGCCCCGGCCACGCCTTTCGCACAGGCGCAGAGGTGTGTCGCACGTCCTTCTGGGATTGGTAGTTTTCTTAAGGCACTTTTAGCTTGATAAAAGAGGAGTAGGAAGGTATCAAAGACTACAAGATCCAGCGTCCTATGAAGCCGGTGGGCGGTGAAAAGGGTTTGCAGGCGGAGGAGTCCGGTTTACAAACAGAAATTTGGAAGCCTAGTGAAGGGGAATCCCCGAGCACGTCAGTGGTTTCGGTGGAGGGCGGGACTTCGGAAACAGCTCCGGCCGCTAGGCTGGGCTGGACTGCGGTCCCCCGAGCTGAGTGTGGCCCTGCAGTGTGTCCTTCCTCTGGGCCTGGGAATGCCCCGCGCGCCTGTAGAAGGCGGAAACGACTGCTGGGGCTGCCTTCTCTAGAAAGGGCCTAATTTTGCCTGCTATGTCTGGGGGCTTCGAGCTGCAGCCGGAGGACGGCGGTCCCCGGGTGGCCCTGGCGCCCGGGGAGACGGTGATCGGCCGCGGGCCTTTGCTGGGAGTAAGTGTGGGAGGGGGCTCGGCGGACGCGGTGACCCAACAGAGCCCTTGCCGGGTGCCAGGTCCTCCCTGCTTCCCACCAGCAAGCGCTGCGGGTCTGCGTTTTAGAAGTTTGGGGTCCACTTTAGACAACTCACAAACATTTCTTTATGTTGCCTTTCAAACCCGCTGACTGATCACTCTAACCAGGGGTAGGACACCGAGATCGCTGGGGCCCAATCCCGCCCTTGTTTGTGTGACTCATCAGCTAGGAATAGTTATTCAGCTGTAAACTGTAGAAAGTAAACAAACAAGAACTTAGCAGCTTCTCAGGGCAGATAAGTATTTCAAGGGTCGAGAATATTGCGTCTAGGCCTGTGAGGTCTAAGATGTTTACAGTAGCATGTAGCTAGTTTCCTTTTAAGCCTTGTGTTTCTTTGAAGGACCAGATAGGCCCAATTTTTATTATAATGCCATTTTTAGTAATATCAGTAGCTAACCTTTAACGTAGAATGCGTACTGTTCCAGGTACTGACCTAAGGACACTTTGTAAAAATTTTAAAATTCTTTTTAGTAATTTTTTTTTTCCCCAGAACTGGGGATTGAACTCAGGCGCTTGTGCTTGCCAGGCAAGCACTTATTCTACTGAGCCATCTCCCTGGCCCTTTAGTAAATTTTTTAAAGATTGATTGATTGATTGGTTGTTGTTGTTACAGCGTCTCATTACTCGGTTCACACTAGTAGTGATCCTCCTGTCTCAGCCGCCCCAGCGCTGGTATTACAGGTGTGCACCACCACAATCCGGGTGCAGGGGTTCGCACTGTACGGGGAATTGAATTTGGGACCTTTGCGTGCCCGGGCAGGCACTTATGTTGCCTAGATAGCTCCCCAGCCTAAGTACGCTTTTTATATATCAACTAATACGCTTTTTTCAAAACTCTTTGAGCCACGTGCTTTTATTATCCCTATTATTCAGACAAAAGAATTGAACCATAAATCTGTTAAAGCTTTTGGATACAATTTGCCACAAAGCCATATATCCTCTATCATTTTTGGGAGGATTAGGAGTTAGAAAATTTGCAAATTGCTTTTGGAATTCTGTAGATCACTTCTTTGGTACATCTGTATGTGTACACGTGTGCGTTTCCTCTAGTGCTCAACATTCTCATGTAATGTCCACTTTGTACAGAACATTTTGCAGATCCCAGCACTGTGGAGCTTGCAAATATGAAGGAGTTGTGGTGTCCCTATTCTGTAGGAGTTTTCTTTTGGACTGTTTATATAGACCTTTGGTAGTTGATACCAAAGAGTAAAGAGCATTGATTATTTTTTCTGGTTAACTTCTGGGAGCAGGGAAAGGAGTAGTGGTTTAAGGTTGTCTTATAGAAGTTGGTCATAAGGGTGTGTGTGTGTGTGTATGTGTGTGTAAATACACATGTATATGTAGGAAGGTTATTGAGAAAGAAGTTCATGTTGCTAAATTTGTTTTCCTTCCGGGCAAGTGATTATTTAAATGTTTGAATAACATCTTACCACTTTTCTCCACTTTGCTAGTCTATACAAACATTTAAAGGAGCTCCTGAGAGTTGTTTTTGTTTGGTTATGGAGGTTAGAAACTCAGTGTTTCATCTTGTAATTATATGCGTGCTATTAAAAAGTTTTGACTTGCTTAAGAAATTGTGTCACCAATACATAGTACTATGGGTTTGGTTAAAAGATGGATGGAATTTTGTCCTGTGTTTTTATAACCTTGGCAGCAGCTTGCAGACATTTTCATTACATGTAGCTTATTTTTTGTGTAATAGTTTGCTGATGTGTGGTATGTGTAACAAAGGCAAGTAGAATGTTGGTCAATCATTTTGTCAGGATTTTGCTTTTCCTTTATTTATTTTTTTGTGCTACTAGGGATTGAGCCCAGCACCTTTGCATTGAATTATATTGCTAGCTAGCCCTTTTTATTTTTATTTTTTATTCTTGACTCAGAGTCTGCCTAAGTCATGAAGTTGCCTGGGCTAGGTTAGAATTTTTAATCCTTCATCCTTTTAATGGTGTGGGATTACAGGTGTGCACTGTTACACCTGGGTTCTGCATTTCCTTCTTACACACTCATTCAGTATGAGATTCTGTCATCAGATTTGGCAGATGACATTCTAAATGTGTTGATGGAAAAAGTTTGAAAAATAAGCAAATCACTTTGTGGCTTTAGATTCTCGAGTGGACACAGGTAGTTGTTTCTTTGCAGTGTGTACTGGTGGTGGTGGCATGTACCTGTAATTCCAGCTACTTGGAGGCGGAAGCCAGAGGATTGTAAATTGGAAGTCAGCCTGCATGACTTAGAGAGACAGAAGCTCAAAAAATAAAAAGGGCTGGAGATGTAGCACAGTGTTAAAGTGTCCCTGCATGTGCTATCCAGTATTGCATGAAGAAGAAAGCACAACACGAGGGCTACCCTTTCCAACAAAGCAACTTCAGTGATATTTTTCTGTAGTTCAAAAGAGAGAACAGTTCTACGTGAAAAAACCCAGGGAGGGGCCAGGGAGATGGCTCAGTGGAATAAGCACTTCCTTGGCAAGTGCAAGGGCCTGAGTTCAATCCCCGGTTTTGAAAAAAAAAAAAAAACAAAAAAAAAAACAACCCAGGGAGTTCACTGCAAGTTCATGTGTATCTCAATATTAAACAGAGAATAACTTTTCTCACTTAATTAGACATGTTTTTCTGACTCAAAACTGCACAGACCTTAATTGCTTTACAATTCAGTATATATAGTGGTCTTGGTAGTAAAACACTGAAAAAATTCTTTTTTTTTTTTAAAAAAAAATCTTTTATTTATTTAGTACAGGATCTTGCTATAATTCTCCTGTCTCAGCCTCCCAGTACTGGGATTACAGGTGTGCACTACCACACCTGGCTTTGGGGCTGGCATGGCATAAGGTGCTGGGGATCGAACGGAGGTTCTTGGGCTTGCCAGGCAAGCACTTGGACTGCTGAGCTATCTCCCCAGCCCAAAATTTCTTTTTTGAGACAGAGTTTCACTATGCATGTCAGACTGGCCTTGAACTCACTCACCAGCCCAGGCTAGCTTTGAACTCACAGTGGTCCTCCTGTCTCAGCCTCCCAAGTACTGGAGTTACAGGCATGTGCCACCGTGCCCTGCTGGTAGTGAAATATTTTAACAGTGAGCATGTCTTTATATCTTTACAGTGTCAGGAATACACAGCAAAGAAACATCACATGCAGAGGACAAAGTATAATGAAATTGAATCTTTGTTACAAATATTCCTTTTTAAAATATATTAGATTTTTTTTTTTTTTTTTTTAAACAAGGAATCAAACTCAAGACCATACACTTGGCAGGCAGGCACTGTGCCACTGAGCTATATCCCTGCCCCAAATATATTAGTTTTTAAATGTAGCCATTAGTTTATTGAGTAGTTGTAGGTTCAGAGTAAAACTGAATGAACGATGTGGAGGTCTTCTGTGGTCCCTGGCCCTGTACACACACAGCGTTTGCTACTATTAGCATCTCACACCTGTGTGATAGATTTATTACAATTGATGAATCCACATCTACTGTCTAAAGTCCATAGTTTAAACTAGAGTTTATTCCTGGTATTGTACATTCTGTGAGTGCTGAGCAATGTTTAATGACATGTACCCACCATTGTAATATCACATAGAATAGTTTTACTGCTCTAAAAACCCCCTTTGTTTCTGCCAATTCATTCTTTCTCTCTCCAAATCCCTACATCTGCCAAACTTTTTTTTTTTTTTCTAATCTATTTAGTATAGGTCTAGAGGGTCTCATTACACAGATCAGACTCATAGTGAGCCTCCTATTTTCGGCCTCTGAAGTGCTCGGATTACAGGTGTGTGCCCCCATGCCCAGTCTCAGTCGCTCTCTCCGCTCGCCCTGGGGGCGGATACAACACAGCTGAACTTTTTATTGTTGCCAATTTTCCCTTTCCTACAGTGCCTGATTTTTAAAAATTCTTTATATGTTGTAGATTGAGATCCTTTGAGGAATAGTCTGCTATAATTTTTTTCTCAGTTCGTGGGCTTTCTTTTTACTCTGCTGGTGATTTCGTTTGATGTGCAGAAACTTTTCAAAAAGATGAGATCCCAATTGTTGACTGTGTGAAGTATTTCCTGTGCAGTTTGATTTTTGTTCATAAACTGTCTGTTTACCCCTGTTTTTTTTTTAAAGATTTCTAGCTACTTTCTCCTCCAGAAGATTTATTGTTTCAGTTTTAATATTTAAATATTTTAAAATCCGTTTGACGGTACTTTTGTGCATGGTGATAGGCATGGGTATATTTTTAGTCTTCAGCATGTAGAAAGCCAGTTTTTCCAGCACCATTTATTAAAGAGGCTAGCTTTCTTCCAGTGAACAACTTTGACTCCTTTGTGTGTTTGTAGTTGTGTCTGCATCTTTTAATCTGTTCCATTGATCTGCAGGTCTATTTTTTTTTTTTTTGCCAGTACCATGCTGATCAGGGATTTGATTTGTTGCTCAGGATTGCTTTTGCTATTCTAGGTCTCTTCTGGCTCAAGATGAATTGTAGGAAAGTTTTCTGTAGATCTGTGAGATATACTATTGATATTTTAATTGGGATTGTGTTGAATCTGTATAACAGTTTTGGGAGTATGGCCATTTTGACAATATTGATTCTTCCTATCCAGGAGCAAGGAATATCTTTCCATTTTCTGAAATCCTCTTTGATCTCTTTCTTCACACTACTATAATATTCACTATATAAATTTGTTACTTTCTTTGTCAGATGGATTCCTAAGTGTTTCCTCTTTTGGGTGTTATTGTGAAAGATGTGGTTTCCTTAATTTCTCTCTCAATGCATTTGTTGTTTATGTATAGAAATGCTATTGTTTTTGAACATTAACTTTGTATCCTGCTGTGCTACTGATTTAAGTTTTTAAATCTACAACTCTCTTGGTGGAGTTTTTGGGGTCTTCTCTGTACAGTATCATGTCATCTGCAAATAATGATAATCTCACTTCTTCCTTTCC